ATTTTTCCATATTGTGGGTTGTCTATTCATACTGCTGGTGGTTTCTCTTGCTGTGCATAAGCTTTTTAGTAAGAAGAGATCCCACTTGTTGATTGTTTGTGCTAGTTCAAGGGCAACTGAGGTTTTGTTCATAAAATCTTCTCCTACACTAATGTCTTCAAGAGTTCTACCTAACCTCTGTTCTGGCCGGTTCAGCATTTCTGTTTTAATATTTAGATCTTTAATCCATTTTGATTTTAGTTGAGTGCACGGTGAGAGATACAGGTCTAGTTTTAATCTTTGGCAAGTTGAAGCCCAATTTTTCCAGCACCATTTATTAAAGAGGCTATCTTTCCTCCAGTGAGGGTGTTTGGCTCCTTTGTCAAAGATGAGGTGGCTGAGTGTGTCTGGAGTTGTTTCTGCATCTTCTAATGTGTTCTACTGGTCCTCAGGTCTGTTTCTTTGCCAGTACCATGCTGTTTTTATCACAGTAGCTTTGTAGTGTAGTTTCAAGGTGGGGGTTGTAATACCCCCTGCCATGTCTCTGTTACCTAGAATTGCTTTTGCTCTTCTGGGTCTCTTCTTGTTCTAAATGAATTTTTGGATTCTTTTCTCAAGGTCCACGAAGTATGTTGCTGGGATTTCAATTGGGATTGCATTGATCTATATAGCAGTTTTGGCCCTTATTTTTCTGTATCTAGCACAGAAACAGATCTATGACACTGCCTGGGTGGATTGTGGCCTTTCTGACAGAAATTGAGAGTACTTTTTTCCTCTGGTTTTGACTCCAAACTTTTCTGACAAACAGCCTGTGATTTGTGCTACTCCTGGCACACTTCCTGACAAACACAACTATGTCTCAAGTCCCAAGTCCTCAGATGCTGTCAACCTACATCACGTACATCTCATAATGGAGTTTGTCATCTGGCCACTGACTTCCAGGAGTTGAAATGGATGTCATGGAGCCACTAGCATGGAACCTTCTGTAAAACAGGGTTGGAAGTTATTATTATTATTATTATTTTTGGTACTGGAGATCAAACTCAGGTCCTTTCGTTTGCAAGGCAGGCAGTGGTACCTGGAAGTTATTTTTAAATGGTTCACCTTTAGAAATATCAGTAGCAATTCGATAATATGCTTATCTACATAATTAATTCACCATCTATCTCTCTGAGATGAATGTTATTCCTATTTATAAATTAGCAGAGTGAGGCTCAGAGAGATCAAGTCAATTGCCCAAGGTGACAGAGGTAATTAGTGGCAAAGCCTCATTTGAACCCAGTTCTAACTTGCCAGCCTGAATTGCTGTCTTTGATGCTATTCAGACCATGATGGTGCTTCAAACAGTATGTTTCTAAAAATGTTTAGGAATGTCATTGAGTCTGTAACTGGAAGACTTTTGATCTTTGCCATTTCACTTACCTAGCAGTACCGAGGCCTCCTCCTGTACCACCTGCTGTGATGCTAAGGTTTTGCCAGGCCGGAACAAAGTTCATTCTGTTACTTCATCCAGGTTGCCAAATAGGGTTGGCTAGCCCTCACGTACAGCCTGTGACCCTTGCAAACACAGCCAAATGTATGAAGCAACTACTGAGTAATGGTGGCTTTGGCTGGGATTTGTGGTTACTGGGATTTTCCTGTAGTTAGGGCCCTGATTTCATTTTTTTGATTTCATCCCTGTTTGTCTAGTACCCAGATGCAATGGGGGCAGCATGCTGGGGTAGCTGTGACCATGGGCAGAAACAGCCTAGTGCCCAAAGGTTTATTTTGTTTTTGGAAAGGGAGAACTGCATGATGACCATAAACTGTCTGACAGGTCTGGGAGGAAGTTGAGCAAGGGTTCCACTGAGAGGGGGCACTGACCTAGGCCCAGGACAGGAAAGGGCTCCCAGATGAAGAGCCCTGCCAGTTGGCCCCTGAGAAAGAATTAGGTGATAAAGTGGAGCTGGGCTTTGGGGCTCACCTTCCAGATGGAGAGGGAAGGGCAGCCACTGAGAACTGGAAGTGAAAGAGAACTGGGGTAGAGGAGGAACTGAAAGAGGCTCTGTATTGGTGGAGCTTAGGGTTTTTAGGGGCTTGAGGAGAGACTTAAAGATTAGGATAGGCTGGGGGTAGGGAGAGTGGCTTGAGATCACCACAAAAGCCCTTGTGTACCCCCCCAGGGTACAGTGCCAAGACTGAGCTGGTCAGCCAGCTCAAACACCTGTATTCTGTGCTCCCTGGTCTAGGGGGGCTGATGTGTCAGTGTGTAGGCTGGTGCTGGAGCAACCAGCAGTGGGGAGGAAGCATGAAGGCAGCCTGGCAGAAAGGGCGGCAGCACTTCTGGCTTCATGGAGGAGGTAGGCCTTGCTAGACAGGCAGGGTTTAGAGATATGGGGACCAGGCCTCACTCACTGCAGGGTCCCTTTCAATACCTTGTCAGCATTTATTTTATTTTATTTTTTTTCCGTACTGGGGATCGAACTGGGGTCCTTGCGCTTGAGCAGCAGGTGGTGGAACCACTGAGGTAAATCTCGGGCCTGTCAGCATTTAGTAATGCTCCCTTGGGTCTCTTGCTCCCATGCCTTTCTTTTTTTTAAACAAAGATTATTTTATTTTATTTTTTATTTTTTTGGTACCAGGGATCGAACTCGGGTCCTTGTGCTTGCCCAGCAGGCGGCAAAACCACTGAGCCAAATCCCCAGCCCTCCCATGCCTTTCAATTGGTTTTTCTGAAAACTTCACAGGGACCTTACATGTAGTGGTCCTTACCACCCAGTATAATGCACGGCACCTAGCAGACACCCACATGGATTTGGCGATAAAGAAATGAACTTCATTCTTAGAGCCCAGAACCTGGTGAACAAGGGCACTTGGGTAGGATCTGTCACTTAGTTTTGATTACTGCTTGTTGCCTCCATGCACTGAGCCTCTGGGCTAGCTGAACATGCAGCCAGGCAAGTCCTGCGTCTGAATTCCCCAGCAATTTGGCAGGATCTGTTGAAATTAAAAATGTGTGCAGGTACACTTGTAGAAATTCAGGCAGTGGCAAAAATCTGACTATGTACACCCCTGATCCTCTCACCTGCCTGGGTGGGAACCACTTACAGGTCCACCAAGAGGGAGGGGCTGGGAATGGCAAGCCCTTTCTATAATATATGGAAGTTTACAAAACCCTTAAAAGGAAATGAAGTACAGTAGAGTGCTTTGGCAGGGCATGAATACCCCACTACTTTGTAGAATGAAAAAGCAGGGTCCCAGCTGGTTGTGACACAAGCCTGTAATCCCAGTACCTGGGAGGCTGAGGCAAGACGATCCAAAATATGAGCCCAGCTTCAACAATTTAGCATCTTAGTGAGACCTTGTCTCAAAATGAAGAAGAAAAAAATTTAAAAGGACTGGGGCTGTAGCTCAAAGTGAAGGCCCTGGTTCAATCTCCCTATTGCAAAAAAAAAAAAAAAAAAAAAAAAGAGCAACAGCATCTGTTAGCTTTTGTAAAACACACACACACACACACACACACACACACACACACACACACCTGTACATGTGATCTAAAGAAAAATGCACAAGACCGGTGCTTTCCAAAAGTGATGACGTTGAGGGTGGTGGGCAATGTGCAGTGAGTATGCAGCTGTGTGACTGGCAGTTGTATCCACCAGTGAGCAGGTATGATGTGCCTCATAGGTCCCAACACTTCAGATGATCTCGTTACATCTTCACACAACACCATGAATTTAATGAATTTTTAAAAAAGCTAATGAAGGCACTGAGGTTAAATAATTTGCCAATGATGATAGAACAAGACAACAGGCTTGGCCTGCAGATGCCTAATGGGTAACTAAACGCAGGGTTCTCTGCATTCATTTTAGTTCTTTTTTACCTTAAAACTTTGGGACAGAGCCCTGCCCAGCTCTGTGAGGCAGGTTAATCACTTGGGAAGTGTCCTGTTATAAGGTTTATTAGCCCTAAATTTATGGGAAGCATCCCATCTCCCTTCAAGGTAGGAGGACCTCATAGTAAGAGTAACTGAGGTGATTTTCATGGTTTGCAGGGACATGTGATTGCCAGTGTTTGTGATGTTCAGCCATTGTCTTAAACCTGTAGCTACCTTGGATTCCAAGAACAGCAGACTCTTGAAGGCCACCCCATGAGGAGGTTACTTACCCAAGTGGGAATAACTGCCCCGTGCCATGAACTGAGGCCACTTCCAAAGCAGGAGCCTTCATCCCTCAGGTGACAATGGGTCTCCTAGGACGTTACAGAACCAGTCCTGAGATACCAGTCGCCACTTGGGGGCTTGATCAAGATTACCTACACTGCCAGCCATGCAAACCCCCAACTCTTGACTTCATTCCCTTTTCTAAATCCCCAAAGCTTCTGTCAGCCTTTACCAAAATAGATCTTGAATGTCTTTATCAGTGCTTCCCAGCATGACCACGTTGATTAAAACTGGAGTTAGGGAAAGATGGCCGTGTCTGGTCTGTTGGACCCCAGGTCTAAAGTTTTTACCCCAAAACTCTAGTACCAGAAGTGGAGAGATATGGATTGGCACACAGCTAAAATGATCCCGAAACTCATGCTCTTATAATACGGTGTACCAGTTTTTCATTACAAACAAATCTCAGAGAAACTTTTGATCCTAAATATTGCCTCATCCACCAGATCCCGTGATTCTTTATCACCCAGGACTGAACATCACACAGGCGCCACTCTGTCTCCGGTCTGCCCGGAGACCGCGGGACCCTGGGACAGCGGCCAGGACCAGGCGCGGGTGCAGCGCTGAACCCCAGATCCGACACTCGTGGTTGGCGCGGGCACGCGAGCCCTTCGGGCGCCCCGGGGGGACCTGGCTGATGAAATGCGGCCTAGCCGCTCGGCTGGGCGGCGGGCGGGTGAGAAGCGCTCCCTCCGGGCTAGGGCGAGCCTCGCGGGCACCTCCTCCCTGTTGGGTGACTGAGCGCGTCGGCAGGGCCGGGGGCGGGCCCAGGAGGGCGGCGCTGCGCCCGGGAGGCCGGCTGCGCGGGGCGGCGGCGCGCGGAGGCTGAGGCGCGGAGGCTGAGGCGCGGAGGCTGAGGCGCTGAGGAGCGCGGTGACCCCGACCTCCCGCGTCCCCGGGTCGGCGGCGTTAGCGTTGCGGCGGTGAGTGTGCGCGCGCCAGTGCGTCCGCGATCCCGGGTCGGGGCCGTGCGTCGCCTGCGCCTCGGCCTGGTTGGCGCCAGAGGGCCTGGGTGGCCGGAGCGGCGGCGTCCGGGGAGTTTCGCGCGCCTCAGGCCGGTGGACGTGGAAGTTGCTCTCCCGGGGGCGACTTCCGGGGTGAAGGAGATCCTTCCACCCCTGTCCCAGGCTGCAGACCTGCACTAGACTGGAGGGTGGGGACAGGGGCAAGAGCCAGCTGGCCAAGGCCGTGTAGGGTGGGACATCTCCGGCCTCAAAGAGCCGGGGTTTCCCTTCTGGCTTGCTCTGGGTGGCCCCTCGATTTTGGGTAGTTCACTTTGTTTTCTGGGTCTTAATGTCCACATCTATAGGATGGGGAGTTGGACTCATTGTCTCTGTAGGTTTTTCCACCGCAAACTTTGGTGACAGGTGCTCTTATGATCTCTTGTTGGATTACCAGTTTAAAAAACAAAACGGAGTCAGGCTGGGGAGGAAGACTGTAGTTTCTCTTTCCCTATGAGGAATCTCAGGCAGGCACATAGTTGCCCGGGAGGCTGGGGAGCCAGTGTCAGAGGAAAGCCTCAGGGGAGTTGAGCATGTGTGAGGAGGTGGAGGTGTGAGGGCTGGAAGGCTGGGTGAAATCGCAGACTCCCCCAGAGGAGCTCGGAAGGCTGGACTGGACCCGGTTAGTGGCTGGAGTTTCAAGGCTCTGCTCTGCTCTCCCCTCTGCGTTGCCTGTTTGTACCCTGGGGTCTGGCGCTCCTTCTGTCCCGCCCCAGGGCTGGAGCAGGGCTGAGCTGGATGGGGCCTGGACACGCAGAGGGTAATAGCTGCCTCTGGGGTCTTGCTATCACCCCTCCTATCCTCCGAGCCTTTGGCTTGGAGGAGGGGCTGGCTGCAAGGTAGGCGCCTAGACAGTGGGGGGACTGGGCACAGTCCCAGCTGCCTTGATGAGTCCATCTTGGCTTTTGATCGGAACCTGTACCTGTTTGGCACTGGCTTCTCTCAGCTCTATCTTTGCCAAGCCCAGAAGCCTCCTCTTCTCTAGGAAAACTGCAGAACCTGTCTGCCACCCCAGGTTGCACCTTCTTTCTGCCTTGCCTGGTCCTTGTCAGCGTGGTAATTCTCTGTGAGCTCTCCTTTCCCCGCAGATGGTGATCCCCAGTGTGGAGGGTGGGACTTCGGATTTTATCTCTGGTTTCAGTAAAAATAAGGAAGGACAGCTATATTCTTTCAGTGACTGCTGTTTTCCCAGGGCTGTACCTAGTGATTTACCTGTGTGAACGCCGAACCTCACAGCAATCTAAGGTTACCATCATTATCCCCACTTCCGAGGAAGGAAATTGAGGCAGAGAGAAGTCCAGTAATTTGCTCAAGGTCACCTAGGTGGGAAGTGGCCGGACCGGGCAGGTTACTTTTAGGTTGCACAGAACAGCCTCAGGTGAACAAAGGAAGCCTTTCGGATTGGGGCTTTGTGGAGCCAACTACAGTGACCCAGGTCTTTTTTCCCAAGACCTTGGATTTTTGTGTGATTTTGCAACAATGGAACCTTTGGTGCAGCCTGGAAGACCTTAGACCTCTGTGACTCCAGCTTGTGCACGGTACTTCCTTGAAGCTGGGTCCCCCAGGAATCCGAGGCTCCAGGACAGCCTCTCTGGCTGCAGGCTCCTGGCTAGGACATCTTTGTCTGGAGCTTGGATGCAAGGGTTCTGTTGGGGTGTGGGCCCAGCAGATGATCAGATGAAGCTGAGAAGGGCTTCAGTGCTTGTCTGTGCACATGAGTTCTGTTGCTTTTGTGCCTCTTAGGGGTACAAGGTGAGAGGAAGAACGAAGGCATGGTAGGATTGGCTGGCAAGTGCTCAGTGTATCTGAGAGTACCGTGGGTAGGTGAGGAGAAGACCCTGCCCTCCCCGGGGAAGCATCTTAGGCTGCCTGGAATTTGTTTCTAGATCACACCTGAAAACCCAGTCTCTTCTGACCTGCTCTGCTTCAAGGTGTTTCAGAAACAGTCCTAGAATTAGATAGCCAGGGTGCAAGGGCATGGAGGTTGTGAGCCTGGACTCTGAAGCCATGTACCTGGAGTTCTTCCCTGGCTCCTAAACTGGTGGCTGCCCAGCTTACAGCAGGTCACCTCACAGCATTTACCTTCTGTTTTCTTTCCTGTGAAATAGGGAAAACATTTTGAGGAAAGGGGTATGTATGATAGGCAGAATACTGGATGTCACGCTTGCATTGCCTCTGTCAGATCCTCGTAGCAGCTGAGCTGGGCGGACTCCCTTATTCCCATTTTACAGATGGGAACAGCAAGGTTCAGGCCGGATTCCTTGGTGGCGAACACCCCAGGCTGTATGAGTGGCTGAGCAGGAATTCAAGCTCAGGCGTTCTGAGTCTGAAGTCTTCCACCTCTTTATAACATTTTGCAGCTTTCTGGCTGTAGAGAGAGCCTAGGCAAGTGTATGACCATTGCTAGTTTATCTGTATTTTTTAAAAAATACATTTTATTTTATCCCATTCCCCCCTCAAGCCCCTCCCCTCCCTATGTACAAAAGCTTTGTTTCCAGTTTTTCCTTCTATTTTCACTTTTTTTGGGTCCTTTCCTTCCTTTCTTCCTCCCCCCTCCCCTGTTCCCTTCCCATTTGAACACTTTCTTCCCATTTCCCAACATTCATTACACATCTCAGTCCTTATTTCCACTTTCGGTTTCTCACACGAGAGAAATGTGGTATTTAAACGTGTGTGTCCAAATTAGACCATTGCTAGTTTAAAAGCTCTTTTATTTCTTCTTTTTCTCCCCTAGTACAGAGAATTGAACCGAGTCCTCACACTGAGGTACATTCCCAGCCCTTTTTATTTTTGTGTTTTACTTTTTGAGATAGGGTCTATATGTCACTAAATTGCCTGGGCTGAGCTTGATCTGCAGTTCGCCTGCCTCAGCCTCCTAGAGAGCAGGGATTATAGGCACACACCCCGATTCTATCTTTTATATATTTTTGTTGGGAGATGGGACTCCCAAGTAACCTTAGGGAGCTTAAGGTCAAGGCCAGCTTCAGGTATATGTCGCTAGCTTCAGGGGCCCCCCACTCAGGACCCCCAGTTTGGTTTAATTTGGTTTGGTTGCTGTCACCATCTTTGAATTCTCCCTCATTTCTGAATAAGGGGCCCACATTCTTATTTTGCACAGGGGCCCACAAATTGCATAGCTGGTCCTGTGTAAGGTGTTGAGAGGCAGAAGGTGATGGGGACATGCTGACAGTGTCTTGGGACCAGCTTGCTCTCAAGCAGATGTGTGCCTGTCTTCCTCAGTACTCCCAACCGCAGCAGCAAAAGAAGACTCTGGTGGACTCTCAGCAGGCCTGGGTGTACTCCAGGGAACTCAGCCCGATTTTCTGTGGCAAAGGGAAACGCTCAGATTGCCAGGTGGACTCACGAAAGGGATAAAGCCTGCAAGCTGTAGCCTGGAGATGCAATTTTTCATCCCAGAGACACAGAGGCTGTCCTTGCTTTTGGTGATGAGAGTGGCGAAGGTGATGCCCGCTGTGCCTCTGAGGGTCCTGGCTCTGGGGGCTTTGAATGGTTTCCAAGACCTTTTAGAGCCAATGCCGACAAGACACAGCCTTCCCTTGCCCTCTTTTCTTTTCTCCTTATAGATGACTGTTTAACTGATTTTTGTTCATGTTAGCTCTGGCCACTTGGAAGCTCAAAAGGAAATGCTTGGCTCAGGCACAGCATGTGTCAAACAGCACAGCTGTGTCAAATCTCCAAATGGTGACAAGAGCTATTAGTTTTTAAAGAGGTAATGTCCATGGAGTGTGTTGTTTGTTCCAGATGCTGCTGTATGTATGTTTTATTTATTTAGTTTTGGTGGTCCTGGAGATTGATTTCACGACTTTTGCACTGAGCTACTTCCCCAGCCCTATTTTAAAAATTTTTAAAATTTTGAGACCATTTCTCTAAGTGGCCAAATTGTCCAGGCTGGGCTTTGACTTTCGATCTTCCTACTTCAGCTTCCCAGAGTGTTGGGATTACAGGTGTGAACACCATGCCTGCCCTTGCTCTGTGTCCTTTGTATATAGCATGCGTGTATTCTTTCAGAGTCCCTGTGAGGAAAGTTCTTTGATTTGAAGAGGTGGAGCTCTGAGGTTAAACCGTGTGCCTAAGTTTCCATAACTAGTGGTGGGGTGGGATTTAACCTGCTTAGTCTGACTCTGGAGTCCATGTTCTTGAACACAAACTCCCACCGTCTCAGCTAGGGAACCTGATTGCCTGACTGTCTGGGTATTTTTTGTTTTTCATGGTAGTCATTTTTTTTTCTAATTTATGTTTCCCACCCTCTGATGTTTTTCTTGCGTAGTTTGCAGTGTCTATGGGAAGCTCTTTGAGATCCTGTGGGTAAACAAGGCTCCTGTAATATTTATACCTGGCTCTGCCTGGGTACCTGGGGTGTCCTCAGAAAGGGAACCGAAGCCCCAGAGCTCTGGGAGTGGGGGCCTGGTTAGCCTTCTTGTGACCTGCAGGTCTCTGGAGTTGCTGACCTAGAGAGATGTAAGCCCAGAAGGGAAGTTCTCAGTTGAGGCCTGGGCGGGTTAGTTCCTCTCCTTCTCCCTCTAAGAAATGTCCGCAGCCTGGTCAGAAAGACCAAAGTCAGCATGAAGACCCTGGCCTTTTGTGACTTTGGCCTCACCTCTAGGAAGCCCAGCCTGTGCAGGCTCTGGCCTGAAGTTCCTTTTTGTGTTGTTTTCTGAAGGCTGGAGTCGAGCTGGCTGCTCCAGCATGAACCACAACTCCAGGAAGGAGAAGTAGAATCCGCCTGGCTCCCTGCCATGGCCTGTGAGCCGCAGATGGACCCTGGTGGGGCAGCTGGCCCGCTGCCCACCACCTCCCCCGGTTGGAGCGTCCTGCCTGGGGGGAGCCCTCCGAGGTGGGGACAAGGTAAGGTCATGACCTTTCATCCTCCCTTCCCCTCTGTGCCTCACACTGACCTGGACTCGAATTGCATGATTGGGGGCACGGGAGTGGCACCGAGAGGCCTTTAGATGAGGGTGGGGGCTTCAGAATCACTTCCAAGCCACTTTCTTTCATTTCTGCCTGGTTCTCTGTATCCCCAGCTCCCAGCATCACCCTGTGCTTGATCTGTGCCTCCCAGCTGTTCTTCATTCCTCCTCTCTTTCCATGGCAGCAGGAGACATCTTTCCTCAGTGCACCTCCAGCCACGTTACTTTCGCTTCATTGTCTTCAGTGTTTTGCTTCAGTGGGGTTAGCATGAATATCTGTCATTCACCAGCTTGTAAGGGCTGCCTCAGTGGCTCCTGCTGCCCTCCCTCTGTTGTTTGCCTGCTGTTCTCCCACAGGACCTTTGTATGTGCTGTTCCTTCTGCCTAGTATGTGTTTTCCCCCACTACCTTTCCTTTGTTTAATTTCCATTCATCCTTCTGAGCTCAGTTCAAATATTCCTTCTTTGGGGAACTTTGATGGCTCATTTAAGTCAGGAGCCTCTGATATATTCTTGTTTCTTCCGACAGTACTTATTATAGCCTGGGAATAGTTGTCTGTGTAATAAATGTTGACTCTCTGGCCTCCCTCCCAACTAGAATGTAAGTTTCAGGGTTGGGGACTCAGCTCAGTTGTAGAGCACTTGCCTAGCATTTGGGAGTCCCTAGATTCCATCCCCAGTGCCATTAAAATAAAGGATGTAAGCTGCAGGAGGGCAGGGGCGCTGTGCCATGGTGTGCATGCCTGTGTGTCTACAGCACCCGCTCAGGCTGGGCCCGTTGTAGATGCTCAGCATGTATTTTGTTGAATGAATGAATGAATGAATGAGTGCCTGGTATAGGCAGGGGGAAGCAGCACTGAATTGTGGGGTGTCCTCAGGAATGTGTCTGGTTACCTAAGGAAAGCAGTTTACACACACATCCAGCAGCGGGACAGAAGGCAGTGAAGTGATTTACCTTTGGGACTTTAAAGCCTTTGGTCTACTGAGTTTTGGCAAGTGGGTTCTTGCTCCTTTGTAGGAAATTTCGCTGTCCTGCCTACATATATGCTCGTGCACACACATGTATTTTTCTTTGGTAGCTTTTCTTAACCTAGGAGTAAAAACAACTGTTTCTGAATGGAGGACTTGCTGTTCTCCTTTTAAGAAACAGAGGAGCAATAGTATTGCAGAGAATCCAGAACTCTTGATTTGAAAGGTGAACAAAGACACAGTGTTCTGGCCAACACCTGCTGGGCAGAGGGCCCAGACCCAGTGGGTTGCTCACCCTGTGCTGTGCAGTCGGGAGCTGGGCTGAGACAGCACCCTCTTTCCATGTGAATGCCACCACCTGAGGGGTCTCGGCAGTCAGTGAAGTTGGGGTGAAGCTGCGGCCCAGGGCCTGGTGCAGAGTTAGGTTCTCACACCCAGGACCTGTGCTTGTCATCTGCCTTTATTTTCCTGTGGTCTAGTCTTCTTTATTTGCATATCTTCAATTTCTTTTTTTTTTTAATTGAAGACATCTGTTTAATAATAAAAAAAAAGAAAAGAAAATGTAAAAAGGTGCTTAAAGCTGTTATTTTCTAAGTACACAACACCCTAGATAATTCAAGGCATCTTAATTCTATCAAGAACAACAAAAAAATAATTTTTGTCATGCTGTTAAATCCATCATTATGGATTTAAAAACTGGTACAAATTGGTCAAACGGATCCAACAAACACTGATGTCCAAGCTGGCGTATTGGCAACTAATACATAACTGGTGGTCAACAGACAGTTTAAAAGATCTTCCCTTTCTTCTTGTTCTTTTCCAAGGCTCTTGAACGGTTCTGTTGTTCTAAAATATGTTGCTGAGCTTCCCAGTTTGCTTTCTCTTCCTCAAATTGATGACGTTTTTCCTCTAATTCTTTTTCATTTGCTCAGGGAGCCGCTGGAGCTCAGCTTCAGAGTCCTTCAGTTTTTGAACTTTTTCTTTGACCTTCATCTCAAACACTTGCTCCATCTCCATCTCCATCTTCTTCATCTTGGCTATGTGCTCCCTTCTTTCTTCTTCCATTTGTGCCAGAGGGCTCTTAGTAAGCTGCCCTTTGTTCTTGTTGTTGTCCACTCCATTGTAAGTCACAGCTGCCAGTTTTCTGCTTCTGTAGTTCTCATAGTGCACGTTATTGGTGACATCTTTCAAGTCCTGCATGTGCGTCCTTATCAACATATTTCATAGAATTGTAAACTCACAATGTTCACCATTTTCAACTTCAGCCACACCCCAAGGGTATTGCCTTCCTCTGACCCTTTTGCCATTAACTTCAATGATAGTGTTGCTACCCACCATAGCAAGAGGTAAGCGGTCTTTTATCTTTTTAACCAGCTTATTTTCTTCTTCATCATCTGTTTCTGGAAATTCATATATTTTAATTTTATGTTCTTGGATTTCTTTCATTATCTGTTTTTTAAACTGTTGGCATTCCTCCGGTGTGAGTGTGTCAGCTTTGGCAATCAGTGGGATGATACTCACTTTCTCATGCAAATGCTTTATAAACTCAATATCTAATGGTTTAAGTCCATGTCCTGAAGGAGCAATGAAGTATAAACAGCACTGCACCCTATTATCAGGCATCTGATGTCTGTTCACTCGCGATTCTGCGTTTAGGTAATCCTCAAATTTACTATCAATGTAGTCAATCACAGGCTGCCAGCAATTACGGTTATCCACTGCATCTCCAAATCCTGGGGTATCAACTATTGTGAGCAGCAACTGAACATCACCTTCTTTGACTAAAACTTTGAATTGTTCCACCTGTCCAGTCTTTTTTATTCTATGGGAAGGACCTGGATACTCTGGAGAATACAAATCTGTGAGGAATAATGAGTTGATCAATGTTGACTTTCCCAATCCAGATTCATCTACTACCATAAGTGTGAATTCAAACCCTCTCTTCACTGATTTTCTATACACTTGATTTGGGAGAATGGCAAATCCCACATAGCCTTCAAGATTCTTCGGTTGAGCTACCATGGTGCCGCCTTGGATGCTTCTTTCCTCAGCGGCGGCGGATCCCCGCCTCTTGACTAGCCCCAGCGCAGCCCCCATATCTTCAGTTTCATCTTTATCTTTTTATATTTTATTTTCATGAAGCCACCTTAGATTCTTTCTGGAGCGGTGTGGAGGGTAGGAAAACAATGGCAAATAAGTCAGTGTAGGTTTTACTGTAACTTTTGGATTCTGAGCAGCTTGCTTTTAAATTGTGATGACAACAGGGCCAGTAATTCGCACCCATTTTAGGGTCTTAGTGATGATTGGTAATATCTTCTGCAGTGGCTCTGACTGTCCTCCAAGGGAGCAGACAGACCAGGCATTTAAATTGCTTCTTTGAGTTTACGGTGTTAGTGACAGGCTGGGCTGTGAGTGGAATCCCAAGGCTGTCTGGCTGTGCTTTCTCCACACCCCTCACTCCTCCCAAAAAGAGGGGAGAAAGGAGAGAGAGAGGAAAAAATATACAGTTCCTTTTGACAGGATGTAGAATTTTGAATTTTATGGAACCCTGAAAAAACTCCACCAGCTGGTGTCATGGTGCATGCATGTGATTCCAGCCCTCAGGTGACTGAGGTTGTTAGATAATGAGTTCGAGGCCAGCCTGGATGAGTTCAAGGTCATCCTGGACTACATAGTGAGACCTTGTCTCAAAAAACCCAAACAAACAAATAAAAATCCTGTCAGGATTGAGGAGCAAAGTCCTTTTGTGTTAATTTATTTATACGTCAGACATGTGTGCTAGACACTGAAGCAAGCTCTGGGGATTCAATGATGAACGGTCCGATATGGAAGTGGATAGTTTGGTGGGGAAGGAAGATGCCTTAAACAAGGCATTGCATACGTATGTAATGGAATAATTACATGCATATGTATTCATCTTTCATGCCTGTGAAGGAGATGAGCAGGCAGTTGTGGGTAGGTTGTAGGATTGATCTTCTAAGAGTTGAGAATGTCACTGAGGGCTCCCTGGGAAAAGTGATTGGTGAGCTGCTATGTAAATCATGTGCAGGATTTAACCAGATGAAGCTAGGTGGAAATGTTCTAGGGAATGGGAAAGCATATGCAAAGGTCCTGGGGTGGAAGAGAACAATACATGATCAAGGAGCAAAAGTGGTGGGTGTGGCTCAAGGTAAATCTGTCAGAAATTTCTCTCCGTCTCCTTTCAGCATCATAAGAATGGTTCTTGTCAGCAGAGCTCAGAGGAGCTGGAGAAAGTTTTTCTTGAGGGATTGGTGTTCATTCCAGGCCTTTCTCTCCAGCCGGCCTCCGCTCATCACTGTAGGTGAGAGTCTTGGTAGCTCTGGGTGTGTTTTTTGAGTGCATAAAGACCTTATGTGTTGAATGTGTTGAAGATGTGCTTGGGGGTGGTTTGAGTTGTCACCTCCCACACGCACATAGGAGCTTTATTGCCACTGTTTTAGTGTCAAGGTGGGGCCTTGAAGAGGTGAGGACAGCTCTACCCCCATGTTGAGTGATGTCATTAGTGTGGAGTGGGTTAGTTATCCTGGGAGTGGTTGCTAATAAAAGGTCACATTCAGCCCAGTTTTCCTCTCGATCTGGCACGTGCTCGCTTGTCCTTCTGCCATGTTGTGATACAGCCCCGAGACCCTCACCAGATGCTGACACTTGGATTTCCTACATGTAGAACTATGGGCCAAATAAACTTTTATTGTGCATGATTTACCCAGTTTGTGGTCCATTCTCTTATGGCAGCAGAAAATGGACTACAATGGGAGAGGTTACCAATAAGTCAATGTATTAGTTTATGATTTTTGCTGTAACAAAATGACCAGCAGTTTGAGTCCCATAGTGGCTAAAAACCACAAATGTGTTTCTTTGCAGTTCTGAGATCAGAAGTCTGATGGGGGTCTCACTGAGCTGACGTCAGGGAGTCAGCAGGGCTGTGCTCCTTATTAGAGGCTGTGTGGGGGACTTGTTTTTCTGTCCTTTCCCAGCTCCCAGAGGCTGCCTGCATTCCTTGGCTTGTGCTCCCTTCTTCCCTGGTCAAAGCCAGCAGCAGTGCATCTCTCTGGGCCTTACTTGCCAGTCACATCTCCCTCTGACTTTGCTTCCACCTCTCTCTTCCCCTGGGATGATTCTGGGTCCACCTGGGTGATCTAGGATGTGCTGACTTATGACCTTCCTCCTTTGCGTACCCTTAATTCCCCCATTGCCACAGAAGGTAGCATATCCACAGGGTCTAGAGAGCGGGGTGTGGACATCTTGAGAGGCCATTGCTATACCATACCTGGTTATCTCTTCTTAGATTCAGAATCTACTGGGAATTTAAGTTAGGAAGTTGAACTTCTTCTGTAGTGCTTGAATAAATGGCTACTGTACCAGGCTCTCGGTGTAGTTAGGGGCTCAGTCTCTGTTTACATGTCCATTGTGATGGGGAACTCACTATTGCTGTTCTTTGTGGGGAAGTTTCCAGGGAAGTTCTTCTAGGTTTCACATTGTATCTGAGGAGCCTCCTTGCTCTGCCTCAGTTCTGCCTCCCTGGGGCTTCCTAGTCAAATCCAGTCCTTAGGGACTTGAGGACAGCCATTATGTGGCCCCTTGTCACAAGAAGGTCCTCGCAGTTTGAGGGGAGGTGTCACCCTCCAGAGTGGCTCTCACTCCACCAGCTGGTCTGCTTTCAGAGCTGCACAATGGCCAGGTTCTCTCAGTCCTCCGAGTTGACAATACCTGTGCATCCATCTCCTTTGACCTGGGAGCCGCAGAAGAGCAGCTGCAGGCCTGGGGCATTCAGGTGAGTGCTGGTTTCATGGAGTTTCTGCTGTCTGCCCGTCCATCCATCCATCCATCCATCCTTCCTTCCTTCCGACCATCCAGTTACTCACACGTTTACTGAGCACTTTGTGCTTGCATGTGCTCGAGTTGCCCTGACTTCCCAGTTCATTCACTTAGCACCTGTGTGCTTTGGGCTGCCCACTCTGCCCGATGCTTAGCTGAACGGTGTAGAGTTGGATGGGACACAGTGCCCACGTTCCTGCTGCTCACAGAGCCCAGCAGGGAAATGGACACGTGTTGGCTAAATCAGGACAGCATGACATACACGCCACAGTAGAGGGATATGCAGAGTATTGAAGACATTTGGGGAGAAAATGATACAGTTGCCTGCAGGTGAGTGGTTACGAAAGCTTCACAGAGGAGCATGCTTGCTGTGAGGTCTTAAAAGATAAATAGGAACGTGCTGGGTGGGCAGGAGGAAGGACATTACAGGAGAGGGAATGCATTCTGCATTTGCACAGGAAATTGCTCTTGAATTCAGTATATCACAATGCAGTTCCTTCCCATGCAGGGAAGCCAGGCCCATACTTCACATACCCTTGCATCTGAGTGCAGGCTCAGTTTGACTTTGAGCGGGTGAGTTGCCCTGTCTGAGCCTCTATCTCATCACCTGCAGGTGAGGACAGTGTTGTTAGTACCTGTTAGATGGAGTTTCTGTTAGGGTTGAATAAATAATGCTTGAGGAACACGTGCATTGTCCTTGGCACATAGTAAATGCTTTGTGAATCATAGTTCTTTTTTTTTTTTTTTTCCAGACAGGGTCTTTCTGTGTAGTTCAGGCTGGCCTCGACTCACTATGTAGCCCAGGCGGGCCTTGAACTCACAGCGATCCTCCTGCCTCAGCCTCTTGAGTGCTGGCATTATGGGCAGTCTCGTTGTTGGTGTGACCATAGGTGTGGTCTCCTCTCTTCCCAAAGTGCTGGCATGGTGAGGCCTTCCCTGTGTGAGCAAAGGGCTGTTAGTCATGGATGGAAGCACACCTCATTTTGGCCTGAAGATTTTAGAATTTGCAGCTTTTTTGTTTTCAGTACATGGGATTGAACCCAGGGCCTTGACACTGAGCTACATCTTCAGCACTCTTTATTTAATTAATTAATTTTTTTTCTTTATTTTGAGACAGCATCGCACTGAATCACTAAGTTGCCCAGGCAGGTTTTGAACTTGTGATCCTCCTGCTTCAGCCTCCCAGAGTGCTGGGTTACAGATGTGTGCCACTATGCCTTGGCTGCTTCTTTAAAACTGAGTTGCATTTTTACTTATACATTTTTGTCACCATGAAAAGAAAATTTTCTAGATGCATAGTGCTAACCCCATGAGCACAGCTGACTTTTTCCTTCCTTCTTCCTTTCTGCCTTTGTGCAAAAGAGCATTTTCCTTAAACAGTTGTTTTCAAATTGGATTTGTCTGCCTGTGAACAGTTTGTATACTGTTCCACCATATTCCTCTACTTATTTATTTATCCTTGAGGTAAAGCCTCACTGTGTAGCTCAGGCTGGCCTCAAACTCATGGAGATCATCCTGCTTCAGCCTCCGAAGTGCTGGGATTACAGGTGCACACAACCATGCCCGGCTCCATCTTACTAAATAAAATTTTTGGTCTGTTAATTCTCAATCTGTGTTCACCATCTGCTTTCATGGGGCCTTTGTGCCCTGTAGTTAGTTTGGAGCAGAAAGATGAGTAGGCACTTCAGACTGTCAGTAGATGTCCCTTTTGGCCATATGGGTGGTAGCGCTGCCCGTTCTGGGTTCACTGTGCAGCCAGCACTGTGCCAAGCAGTGTTTATGTATGAATTTATTTCATATGCACCCCATTTTATAGAGGAGGAAGCTGGGGTGTGGAGAAGGGGGAAACTTGCTTTAGGTCACATGGCCATACTTATAAATGGCATAGCCAGAGTTTGGGCCCAGGGCCATCTGACTCCAGGGCCTGTGCCTGAACCATTCACCTCCCCTGTGGTTGCTGTACGGTGCTGATGTGAGGGGGTGGAGACCATCTGCGGATGTCCTCCTGCATCCCAGCCTGTCCCCTCTGTGTGATGCCATTCCTGGATTTCCACCCCGGATGTGCCTAATCCCCCTTCCACGTGACCATCACAGGAGCTGGGCATGATGTGCTCGCAGGCTGGAGGGCACTGGGGGTATTTTTTCCCGTGGCTGATGGATCCCTTTCCCTTGGGTGGCCGTGCAGCTACCTGCCGACCAGTACAGGAGCCTGGCTGAGAGCACCCTCTTGGAGCCACAAGTGAGGAGATACATCATCTACAACTCCAGGCCCATGCGGCTGGCCTTCGCTGTGGTAAGGAGGAGGGGGCTGCACGCCGACCTGCCCTGGTCCCATTGCACTGCTGAATGCAGCATTGTGCCCAGGGATTGGGGATAAAGGACTGGGGGCTGGTGGAGCAATGCTACATGGACCAGGACTTGGTATAGGAGGAAATCTGGGAGAATGATGTCACCAGGTCCCTACACAAGGGGTGGGAATCAAGCATGTGTGTACACAGTCTGATTGCAAACTATGTTGAGTGGTTAAATTAAAAAAATGATTATAGTAGAAGACACACTGCCTTTAATCCTCCTCAATATCCCATAGCTTTGAACACACTTATCCCATTTTCTGAAGCAGTTTTGGAAGTCGTCTTTCATGAGTGTCTTTAGTTGCATTGTTGTGACTGTCTTAATGTCCTGAATTCATTCACACTGTTTTCGTTGATGGCCATTTTCACTTTGGGGAACAGTCAGAAGTTGTGTGGTGCTAGATTCAGTGAGTAAGGTGGATGAGGACACGCTGTGATGTTTTTTACAAGCCTGGCTTCCTGTTGGAGGGCAATGGGCAGCAGCATTCGCTGCATTTTTGGTCACCCCTAGCAAAGGCACCTGTACATGCGTGTGTACACATGTGCACACATAAGCACACACATGCCAGGCAGAGACAGTGTTTGAACACAGGCTGTCCGGCTCCTCCCCTGTGCCTTTAAGCACTGTGAGTTGCTGCTGCTTCATGTGTCGGTGGTCAGACTGTGAAGCTGGCTCCACTGCTCACTGCTGGGGACAAGGGACAGGGGCAGAACAAGCATTGCTCAGTCCCTAGTAAGTGTTGGGTTGTGACATAGGGTTACCTCGGGAACCCTTGTAACAGCTCTTTGAGGAAACTGAGGTTCAAGGAGGTGTTATAACTTGTGAAAGCTGTGTGGCAAGTGAAGGATCAACGTGTTCACTCCAGAGACCCCTGCCTTTTTCTAGAAAGAAGGATTAGGAGCAGCTTCTAAGCCCTGGCCTCCACTTCTGCTCATAAACAGGAAACATGAGCTCATGCCCACAGACACAGTGTCACATAGGTCTCTTGGCTCTGTGACCTGTTGGGACCAGGAGGGTGGCAGGACCTCCACAAGGTGTCCCTTTGAATGCAGCTGATGTTCTTGACTGTTCTCCCCTGGCTGCCTGCAGGTCTTCTACGTGGTGGTTTGGGCCAATATCTACTCCACCTGCCAGCTGTTTGCCCTGGGCAACCACTGGGTGGGTGTGCTTCTGGTGACTCTGGCCGCGATGAGCCTGACACTGACGCTCGTGCTTGTCTTCGAGAGGCACCAGAGGAAGGTGAGACGTCCAGGGGCTCCTGCCATGCTACCCCCGGAAGGGCCGTGGAGGCCTGACAATGCCAAACCAGACTTTCCTTTGGCCTGCCTCAGAGAATTCCTCCAACCATGAAAATTCACCCTGGCCCTTGTGCCCAGTGACTTAAAAGAAATCAAATCATGTGCACGATTAAATCTCTCTCTTTCTCTCTCACAGTCTCTTAGAATGGGTTTGTGTTTGGCTCACAGTTTTAGAAGTTTCAGTCCATGGCCTGTTGGCCCTGTTGCTTTGGGGCCCATGGTGATTCATCCTGTCCTGGTGGCAACTCGTGGTGTGGCAAAGCCAGTACCTCATGACTCAGGAGCAACAGAGAGGTCTTTTTTGTTTTTCTTATACCTAATCCCTATGGAATGATTTTTGTTTGTTTGTTTGTTTATTTATTTATTTATGGTACCGGGGATCGAACTCGGGTCCTTGCGCTTGCACAGCAGGCAGGGAAACCACTGAGCTAAATCCCCAGCAATTTATTTATTTTTTGAGACTGTCTTACTATGTAGCTCAGGCGGGCCTCAAATTCACTACTATTCTCCTGCTTCAGCCTCCAGCATGCTGGGATTACAGATGTGCACCCCACACCCAGCTTCCTGTGGGTTGTTTCTTCTGGAAGCAAGCTGTTTTAAGAGACTGTGCAAGGAGGGCATCCATGGCACTTTGGTTAGCTGAGCCCTTCACATGCCTCCCCTCCCTGGGTGCTCACAACAGTCCTGTGAGCCATCAAAGGTTAGGCTGGGAGAGCGGATATGTACTGTCTCCCCTTGTGACTGGCCAGTGTGGGGGTAGGGTGCTGACCTGGTGCTTCTGACAGCCATGCCTCGTTTAATCCCAGCTGACCTTAGAAGCTGCTCTAACAAATTACTGCAAACGCAGTGCAAACCACATGAGTTTAACACCTTCCGTTTGAAGAGTCCATCGTGGGTCCTCCTCCTCGGGCCTATTGAGGTGTAGGCAGGGCTGTGTTCTTTCTGCAAGCTGTGGGGGAGAAGCTGCTTCCTAGCCTCTTCTGGCCTCTGTGCCTGCATCCCTTGGCTTGTCACCGTTCCTCCTTCCTCAGCGACAGCAGTGGCGGGTAGAGTCTTTTTCACACCTACCTCTCCAACTCTGATTCTTCTGCCTCTCTTCCATTTTTTTTTCCTTTTTTTGTAGTACTTGGGACTGACCCCAGGGCTTTTGCACTGAGCTACATACCAGGCCTTTTTGATTTTCATTTTGAGACAGGGTCTCTCATAATATAATATAATATAATACAGTATAGTATATGCCCAGACTGCGCTTGAATTTGGAATCCTTCTGCCTCAGCCTCCCAGAGTGCTGGGATGACAGGCCTGTGCCATCATGCCCTGCTCCACTACTCTTTTTTTTTTTTTTTTTTGGTACCAGGGATGGAACTTGGGTCCTTGTGCTTGTGCAGCAGGTGGCAAAACCACTGAGCTAAATCCCCGGCCCCCCGCTACTTTTAAGGACCCTTGTGTGTACATTACGTCAGCTGCAAAGTCTGAGATAATCTTCCTGTTTTGAGGTCAGTAAGTCGCAGCGTTAATTCCATCTTCCACTTTATGCATATTTAACAACACAGTCCCAGGTCCAGGGAATAGGCCTGGGGTGTCCTTGGGACCATTATCTTGCTTAACACACTGATGCTGTCCTTGCAGCAACTTGGGAAGCTCCTGCCTCTACACCGTGCAGCCCCAGGCACAGTGCTGGGCTCTGAGACCCCCAGCAAGCACCCTTATCCTGCATGGCACAGAAGGAAGGGCAGAATGCTGAGAAATGTAGTTAGGGTTTAGAGTACGAGTTCTATTTCACGCCTGTGTTCAGGGGACAAATAGAGGAGTTTTACGGCTTCATCATTCTGAAAGGTTCTCTGTTGGGCTTTGCCACCAGGCTGACAAGATAATGCTGCCTGGGGGCTCTCTTGAGGCTTTCATGGCCCTTGTGCTTGGCCTACAAAACATAAATCCAGCCAGCCACTCCTGCAGCATGAAACTTCTCTTGGACAGAGGAGAAAGCAAAGCCATCTGCTGTAGCAGAAGCAAGGAGAAAATTTGGCACCTGGCAGGTGCTTTTGGGATGTAGATGTAATTCGTGCAGTCCGGGGGATGCAGCTTGGATGCTTTGCCTCCAGCTCTCCCGAGCTTCTTTATTCAGCTGGGATTTGTGATGTCCCTATGAGTGCCAGGTGATGAACTTGGCACAGGTCACAGGGTATTTAACCTCCCACAGCCTCAGTTTCCTCATCTATATAATGGCATAATAACTGTAGCTCTATCAAAGGGTTATTGTGAGAGTTAAATGACTTAAATGTGAAAAAGTGCTTAGAACAGTATTTGGCATAAGATAAATGCTGCCTAACTGTTAATATTCTTGATTGTTTACCAGTGGGGAAACTGAGGCTTAGAGAGATCAAGTCTGTGACCTCACAGCTCTGCTCAGGTCTTCCTTTGGGTCTCAGCTCAAGCACCTCTAAATCCTGGGATTACTTGTCACTCAGGACAACGCAGGTCTCTCTTCTGGACCATGATCACTCTCACTGTTAGTTCCCTACATACATCACAGACATCCACGAGGGCCTCTAAGTTCCACACCCTATTTGTTTTCCCCTTGGGTGATGCTTTATTGTCCTTTCTCCAGATCAGAGGGTTTGTGAAAGTCAGTGAGACTCTGCCTGTGTCCCCTATGGGCTACATTGCTAGGGAAGCTCCTAAAAATATTTGTTTGTGGAGGGTCTGCCACAGTGGCAAATGCAATGTTTTTAATCCAGTTCCACCACCATGGTGACATGCCTGGGTGACATGTTGAGTTCCCAGGCTTCTGTATGTCCTGTGTGGATTAGCCGGCTTCATCCACATCGCCAGTAAGGCAGAGGCCTTACTGTCTCCGCTGTGGGAGGTGGAGAGGTGCAGTAACTTGCCCCAGGTTAGAGGGTGCTGGGAGGCAGTCAGGACTCGGACTGTTGTTGAGTGGATTTCTGAAAGGTTGAGCACCCTCAAGACAGAATATGACCAGTTTCATAAGAGTGGCTTTCCTGGAAAATTGAGGGTACATTAAAGCTATATCATAAAAACAAAAAATGGGTCGGGCAAGTGTGTAAAATGGAGTTAGGTTAGTGGATTAGAAAGTTCTTAGTACAATTTTTGTCTGCATTCTTGTGCTCTGGGGCCAGGGGACAGTTCCTTGCCAGGTGGAGTTGTTTGCTTGGGAGGTACATGGTCCGCATCTTGGCCTCCTCCACTGTCTGGCACTGCTGACTGTCCCATTGCTGTGACTACTGAAAAGGCCTCACAACCATCCCTTTGGAGGTCTTGCCCCTTGGGAGAACCCTTCCCCTTGTCGGGCTGTTTTCTAACTGCATCCGAAGGCTGCCCACCTTATGGTTTCTTCCCCAATCCAGCCCTTTGGGTTGGGTCACTTTTCTCATCTTTCCACTCCTGGCCTCCTTGGTGTCTCCTCTGTTGGCTGTACACACGGCAGAGGTTGGTGTGGGTGGGAATAGGAGGAAACAGCCCTTCTGAGGACGGGCGGTGGGCTGCAGTAGACTTTAGCAGTGGGCCCTTTATAGGCAGAGTGGGTACTTCCCTTACTGTGGGTGCACAGCCCCATCTGCTCCCCCTGACTCCCACAAACATCTGTTGTACCCCAGCTGTGCTGTGTTCCAGCCCTGGATCAAGTGCTTCATACATGGTCCAGTAAAATGTCACAGTCCTGAGGGCAGGGGTGCTCTTTGTTCTTATTTTACAACTGGGGACAAGGCTAGAGATGGACATACCTTGGCCAGGACCATCCAGTCAGGAAATACAGAGCCGGGCTTCAGTCTAAGGCTGTCTGACACTCCTGAATTTACCATAGGGGAGGAAATGGAAGGGCTGCTGCATACCATCTGGGGGTGGGGCAGTGTGTGGCCCAGGAACTCCTTGGCAGCATGGCCTTTGTCTTACAGGCCAACACCAACACCGACCTAAGGCTGACGGCTGCCAACAGAGCCCTCCTGAGACACCAGGTGCTGCTGGGGGTGACAGACACTGTGGAAGGCTGCCAGAGTGTGATCCAGGTATTGTATCTCTTAGTGGCCTGTCCCTGATGACCCACATTTGGGCTGGGCCCCTTAGGACAGGCGGCCTTGTGTTCTCCCTCTACACCATGTGTCCAGGAGCCTGTGGGTGAGAAGGCTGTCAGCATCCCTTTCCTCCTCCCTGCTCCTCTGCATCTTCCTTGGGATGCCTTTCCTGTGCTGAGCCCGCTGATGGGCTCTGAAGATACGGAGGCGCCCTGCAGGGTCACTGCCTGGAACAAACTCACAGGCTTGTGGGGATGACAGTCACAGTAGCCTTGCTGGCTCTGTGGCAAAAGGAAGGCCCTGGCAAGGTCTGAGGCAAGGCAGATAGGGTACTTTGGGGGGACCGAAAGGAGGTCCCCAGGGGAGTGACACAGCACGGGGACATGAGGCTGCTGAGGCGGGTCAGAGGCTGAAGGTCTGTCTGCCTGGTGCAGTCACTTTCCTCACTCCAAAGGCAGCAGGGAGATCTTATGGTGGTGAGTACCAGTCACACTTTGGATTGGGACCCCACTGGGGCTCCATCTCTTGATCTTGGCTGGGCTCTGCCCAGTGGGGTTGCAAAACCTTGGCACCTCATTTGCTTCTCAGCAGTCCTGGCCCTTTGCCCAGGGAAAGCCCATTGGAGCCTGGCATGGGCTTGTACATGGGAGCCGGGAAGAGGCTCCTCAGGCATAGGCCTTGTTCATCCAGATGTTTATTGTGAGCCCATTGTGTGCCAGGCACTGTTCTAGGTGCTGAAGCCACAGCAGAGAACACACACAGATCTCTGTGGGGCTGATCACACCCTAGACAGTGTAGTGCGTAAAGCTTCTTGCCTGACACCAGTAGGTGAAGCAGTTGGCATCACAGGGAGATCTGGGAATCTGTGGATCCCTTTTCAGCCTCATTTATTGCCAAGTCTCCTTTGTCAATCAGTACATAGGAGTGAGTTGGCAAATGTTAGTTGAACCCACGGATGGCTGGATGGTTAATGAGCAGGCACATCTGTATTAGTCAGCTTTTCTGTAGCTGGTACTAAATATCTGACACCTGCAGCTTAAAGGGGGAGAGGCTTAATTTGGCTCCTGATTTCAGGGGATTCAGTCCATGGTCAGCTGGCTCCAAGGCAGGAACATCACAGTGGAAGGGTGTGGTGGAGAAAAGCTGCTCATTATTAGCCTGTTGGAAGCAGAGCACAGGGGAAGGATGCCAGCAAAATATATACCCTTCAGAGTCAGGCAGCCAGTAACCCTCCTCCACGTGGGCCCCACCTTCTGATGGCTGTGAACATCACTGGATTAATCCACTGAGGAGTAGAGCTCCCCCAGGATCCATTCATTCTCAGGGAGTCTCTTAACCCAGTCAGGGTGACAAATAACCAGCACATTATCTTTTCATTTTCAAGTTAGTATCTGGGGACCAAGTGATACAATGTCTGGGACATCTTTGCCTGTGGGGGAATTGGTGAAGGGGAAGGAGGAGGGTAGAGATGAAATGAGCGGCCTGAGATGACGATAGTTAAAGCAAGGTGATGGGTAGCCATCAGCTAGCTTGTATTTGTTTGGAAATCTTCAGAGTAAAAAGCCTTTAAAAGGTCATTTGAAAAAAATCTTTCCCTGGGGATGGGGATGAGACAGTGGGAGAGACAGCTGGCGAGGGGGACATGACCTTGAGTCTTCTGGGTCAGGCGTTGGGAAGAGGGAGGTGTCAGTGGGAGGAAGGTAAGACAAGCACCACCACTGTCATGCAGAACTTCAGTGCTGATGTGTGGCATCCCCAGGGCGTCATGATATGTAAACATGGAGGGTCTCGGCCTGGCTGTTCAGTTGAGGCAGAGGGAGGTAAGGGTGGGATGAAGATTTCTTTCCCCAAAGAGCACCCAAGTCTGTTGCCTCAGGCCCAGGAGGTGTCACTTTTGAAGGATTTCTCTCTTTTGCATGTTTGGGCTTCCGACAGAAAGGTGCCCTGGCCACTGAGGATGGAGATGGTGTCCTCCGAAAGGGGGGCATGTGATATCCAGATATTTGGAGTCTGTTTGGATTCCAGGTGTCCTGGAGTCTGTCCAGTGATGGGCGGGAGATGGGACGATTTCAGCCATTTGTATGGTGTTGGCCTTTTTTCTTTTGGTGGTATTAGGGATTGAACCTAGGACCTTCACACTGAGCTGTATCCAGCCCTTTTTAATTTTTTATTTTTGAGACCAAACCTTGCTAAATTGCCCAGGCTGGGCTCAAACATGTGATCCTCCTGCCTCAGCCTCCCAGAGTGCTGGCACTACAGGCGTGTATCACCACTGCCCAGCTGGGTTGGACATCTTCCAAATTTGCACACAAAGCCATTTTCTGCTAGCTGTACAAATGAGACCTGGGTGTAGTGTGGAGCTCTGGGAGAGAGCAGAGTGGCCTGTTCCTGCCAGACAGAAGGACATACGGAGCCATCCTGAGAAGGGTGGACTCCTGGGAGGGAAGGGTGTAAAGGATGGATGTGGATGGGGAGGTGGAGGCCAAGCTGGTGCTGAGCCTCAGGGGCCCTGGCTGCTGCTTGTTTCCACAGCTCTGGTTTGTCTACTTCAACCTGGAGAACTGTGTGCAGTTTTTGTCTGACCATGTTCAAGAAATGAAGACTAACCAAGAGGTAAGATATCGTAAGTGAAAAAAGGGCAGCAGGATAAACCAGGGGGCCAGGTTGTGTAAGCTGCATTCCTGTGGTGTTGGAAAAATGTCTAAGAAAGAGTTACATCACTTCTTGGCCTTTTGACTAAGATCAAGTGTTAAGCAAAGTTACTTGGAGGGAAGAATCCCCATGTGGAACCAGTGGTTGCTCTACCTAGGGACTGTTAGCTATTCTGCTTCTTTTTGCCTACTAACACCTTCTACGTTTCCTGCAGTGAGCTTGTAAATACAATTATACTAATAGTCCTATTAGTCATAAACTCTGGCAGATCCAAAAGTGTCACGTATTCTGACAATGTTCACATGTTCAGAGTATCTTTCTTTATTTTTGAGGTCCTGTGGATGGAACCCAGAGCTCACAGTTGTTCTACCGCTGAGTTACATTCCTGGCCCTTTTTATTTTGAGACAAGGGCTTGCTGAGTTGCCCAGGCTGGCCTCAAACTCATGCTTCTTCCTGTGTCAGACTCTAAAGCAGCAGGGATTACAGGCACGTGCCACTGTGCCTTGTCTTCAAAGTGCCTTTCTGCCATTTATTCAGAAGGTAGAGATGAAATGAGTGGCCACGAGGTGACGATAGCTGAAGAGGGGTGATGGGTAGCTGTCAGCTAGGTTGTATCTGTTTGGAAATTTTCATAGTAAAAAACCTTTAAAAGGTCATTAAAGAATCTAAGGTTGCTTTGAGTGACTAATGAGAGCCTAGAAGGAAAAGTCCTTTAGAAGCTCTTAAGGACCTTTGGAAGCTCTTGTAGGGAATTCATGTCTCACTGATATATATGGGTCTGTTCCAGATGCTTCTGAGGTTGATGCTGGAGTCCGTAGCTAGTGCCACCTTCCTCTGTGTCTGCAGCTTGGAGTCATACACCTCCCAGTCCCACCCAATGTAGGACACACTTACAGCCTTCTTTTTCCTTTGTAGTCCTTGCTGAGCAGCAGACTGAGCCAGCTGTGTGTTGTCATAGAGACAGGGGTGAGCCCCTCAACGGCGGAGGGGCCTGAGGACCTGGAGGATGCCCCCCTCCTGCCTGGCAGAGAGACTGGTCCTCAAGAGAGACCAGTCCTGCAGACTGAGCTGTACCAGCTTGTGCCTGAGGCTGAGCCGCAGGTAACGGGTCCTCCTGTGTGGGCCAGCTGCCCAGACATCCATGTGGTGGCTTCTAGTTCCGTGCTCATGGTTTCTCTGAGGTAGTAGAGACCATCTAGATCTTACAGATCATATCTTTCCGTCTTCTTTTTGTTCACCTCAACACTTTTCAAAATAGTTTATAGAAATCATCTTATACTTATTAGGATTTTTGTTGCATTCTAAAATATCTTAGGTATTCTTTTTTGATAGTTACATTGAATGGATAGCTACTTTGATGGATTATAGCTCACTTCACCAATAATGATGACTAATTTGGTCTTAAAACCAATTTACCAATCAATTGATTAGCCATCTGTCCAGCCATCCATTCACCTATCGACTTAAGTGGCAATTGGATATTTGGATCTGATATGATTCTTAGAATTCTCTTGAATTCTAGTCCTTCTGTCCACCCAAGCTACCTGTTGGGTCTCATTAATTGCTGGTAGACCAGAAATCTCATCATGTGTTTTGCAGCTTATGCTGCTTTCTTTAAACTATGAAGGCAGACCCTCTGTCGGGGAGACAAGCAGCAAAGAATGGCTTGGAATTTAAGAGGTTACTTGTATTTTCTTCTTAGCCAAGAGCCTTGGGGATCTAATGTCCAAACCAGCCCAGAATTGCCTTGTTCGCACTGGTGGGGAGTGGCAGGGCTGCTAATAGAACTATTTAAAAGAGAAAATGATGAATGTAGTAATCTCTTCTCTTGCATCCCATTTCCTTTTTTTTATTTAAAGAGCAGGAAAGATTGATAAGGTCGTGTACTTTATTGTGGCATGCTTGTCTGGGTTTATGTGCAGTAGCCTATTAGATGTGGGTCTTTTCATTTACTTTTCCAAATTCATTCAAACCAATAGGCATACAATTTCCCATTATGAATATCAAGTATGTGTGCATATTGTTAAAGCAACTACCTTGTCCTTTAGCTAGGGAAATGCAGTCACTGCTTGAAGCTTGGCATGGCCAAACGCTCCTGTTCCATCCGAGCCCAGTGTTTGTGAAAGACAGACAGAGTTAGTGACCACTTAGACTTTTACAGATTTTGATCCGGCATCAGATTCTTTAGTAAACTATTTGTGGTGTGAATGGCTGTCCCTTCTGTGATGGATGAAATCAGTTTCTAAGAGGTCAGCTGCCTTGCCCTCAGCCATACATGGAGGGAGAATATGGCAAAGCCAAAGGTAGAAGTCAGCCCTGCTGGCTCTTAGCAGGCTGGTTGTTGCTACAGTTCTTTGCTTCTTATTGTTGATTTCAGACTAAGTTGGTGAGGCGACCGGTCTGAATTAGTGAGTGGTAGACTATTTGAAGTTTTCAATATTTTCCAGCACAAAGGACAGCTCAAAACAAAAACTAGTCCTATGAACCATGCACAGTTTCTGATTTTGTAAATAATAATAATAATCATGATAATAATGGTGATGTTATTGAGACTGATTTCGCACCAGCCACTAGACCAGTGCTTTGAATCACTCTGCTCCTGCCGTCCTCACCCGTCTCAGCATGGTCCCTCCTGCTGTTTTCCTGGGGTCACCCATGAAGATGGGTGCAGCAGTGTGAAATGACCTGTCCAGGGCCAGCTGCAGAGTGCAGAGTGATGAGCTAGAGCTCCCTCTTGGCTGTGTGTGTGTGTGTGTGTGTGTGTGTGTGTGTGTGTTAGTTACTGGGAACTGAACCCAGAGCCTGTGCACTGAGCTTCATCCTCAACCCTTTTTATTTTTTATATTTGACACAGGGTTTCAGTATGTTGCTTAGTTGCTCTGGCTGGGCTCAAACTTGTGATCCTCCTGTCTCAGCCTACCAAAGGTTTGGGATTTCAGGCATGTGCTACCACACCCAGCTCCTCTTGGCCTTTTAAATTTTTTTATAATTACTAACTCTACCAATATGAGTAGCTTCTATGTTTGAAAATGAAAAAAGTGTGTGTGTGGCATTGTTAATTTCTGTAGTGCTTTGAGGTTGCATAGCTTTTTGTGCATACTATTAGTGGTGCTGGGGATTGAACGCAGGGCTTCGTGCATGCTAAGCACTTGTTCCACCACTGAGCCACACTCTGTTATTGCCAAGCAGCAGTTAGTTCCTCTACTTGGGTCTGAAGAAATAGGTTTTATGTGCTTAGAGCCATGGAGTTGCAGAGCTGGCTTCTAGACCAGGCCAGATCTTCCCAGAGCCCCAGGTGCTGCCCTGGCCTGGTTCTTCTCAGTGACATCAGTCCTGGGCCAGGGGCAGGAGGACAGTGTGCTGTCCCTCGTGCCTAAGCTCCACTGCCTTCCAGGTGCCTCATGTTGGTTGCCTCACTCTGCTTCCCTGCCTCTTCCAGGAAATGGCTCGGCAGCTGCTGGCGGTATTTGGTGGCTACTACATCCGGCTCCTAGTGACCTCCCAGCTCCCCCAGGCAGTGGGGACCCGGCACATGGACTCTCCAAGCATTCCATGCCCTTGCCAGCTCATAGAAGTGCATATCCTGGGCCCAGGATGCTGCCCCTTCCTGAACAGGTGACCTAGGCACAAAGGTCTTTATTGTCCTCCAAAACTGAGAAGTAGGAGAGGTCCCTGGAGCCCAAAATGGCCCATGGCGAGCCCCCGGCCAGGAGATGAGTGGCCGACAGTGCTCCCAAGGGTGTCATGACATCTGCCACAGGGACGGCATGCCCCTGCCAGGACCCTGTGCAGAAATACCTTGACAGGATCCCATGCTGCCCACTGGGCTTTGCTGAAGCTGACGGTTGCTGAGCTGGTCCCACCCCCAGCCCCTCTCTGTGCTGCATAGAGCTTCAGGCATGGGTGGAAAGGTCAGTCCCCCACCCCTTTCACTGCCCGCAGGGCCCAGGACACGTGAAGATGACCCAACAGGGTCCATCAGGTATCCAAAGCTTGGTCTCACCTGCTGCTCCTGTCTCCAGCACCTTCAAGTCAGATGGGGAAACTGAGGCTCAGGGAGAGCACTGCTCTTTGTGCATCCCCTCTGACTTGCAAGTTGTAGGACTACCTCTCTCCAGTCTGCAGAAGAGAAGCAGAGTCTCAGGATGTCCTCCCTTCTTAGGCTGCTCTCCCCCACATTTTGCGAACAGCAGTGGTGCCTGGGGTTGTGTGCTAGCACCGGGCTCCTGAGACAGGGGTGGAAGACAGGAGGCAGAAGGAGAAGACTGAGGGGAGACTTCGGGAGACCAAGGAGGAGACCACTAACGAGTATTTGCAGCAGCTGGATCGATCCTGTTTGACTTGAGGACTGTTTGTTCAAAGACACGCATGCTCTGGCTGTGGTTTTCTCCTGCAGATGTAAAGCACTACTTGTGTTTTCTGATACTGATCGTCATCCCACAGTGATCAGTCATGTCCCACTGCTCCAGTCACTCCTGGAATTCTGTGAAGAGCTCTGAGACCTCCAGGGGTTCTGCTCCCCCAAAAGTTTGAAGACCTGGTGTTCCTAGGCCCAAGTTACAAAGCCATGGCCTGGCGCTGAAGGCTCCAAGCCCCCAGGGCCCAACCTTCACCTACAGTTTTGCCATCATCTCCCACAAGACCTCTTTATAGCCGAGTCTTTCCTGAACTGACACATCTACTCTTCTCTGTCTGTTGGACTCCTAGTCATGCCTTGAATCCCAGCTTCCTTTATCCCTCCCTCAGGAATTCTTCCAGCACAGCAGCGTTGCTACTCCCTGCCAACTCTCAAGTTCTTGTTACAGTTTTTGCCACCTGTACTGATGTTTCATGTTACTGGTTCTGTTTCCCTCTGCACACACAGACTTTTTTTCCTGCCAGATTGTAAACTCCTTGAGGTCTAGACCTGCTAAGCTGGAAGAGCCCCGTGGACTGATTGCTATTGGTTAGCAGCGTCCTCAAATTGCTCTCCACGCCCAGCTGGCTGATGAGACCTGGCTTAGGATGGAAGTGGGTTCTGGTCTTGCTCTTCTACTCTCAGCTGTGTAACTTTTGGCAAGTTGCTTTCTTTGGCTGGTCCTTAGTTTGCCCGTCTTCATGATGGGTGGATTGGATGATTCTTAAGGGCCCTTCCAGGGCCAAAGTTCTGGTAATTTCCAGAAAGCTAGAAATCTGCTTTCTGTTACAGTGTTATCTACATGCAGAGGCCCCCCTCCCTGCCATGGGCCTGATGTGCTGTTGGATAGGACACTGGCTTAGGTAGCAGGAGACCTGGATTCTTGTCCCAGATCTTCTGCTTCCTAGCTGTGTAACCTTGGACAAGTCCCTTACCCTCTCTGAGTGTCAGTTTACTCCTTTATAATGGATCTGGTGAAGTCGAAATGTCTTACCACAGAGATTTTGCTCTGTGTGAGGCAAACCTGACTTCGTCCTTGTGTCGGAGAAGAGGGGTTGTGTACACAAGCAGCCCCCAGAAATGACTGTTACAGGCGTCGTCCTTAGCCAAGTTCCAGGGCACCTTTCCTCAGTGAAATTATTCACAAAGACCATCATGAAGGCTGTCAGGACACTGAGGAAATGTTGATGAGAATGTGACCAGTAGAAGCCTATATTTATCATCCCAACCATAAAATCCTGTAAGTATCATAAGAGAATAAAAATGTGTTTGTTAAATGACACAGCAGCAGTTTTTCAATCTCAAGGTCAGCTCATGGAGGCCCAGATGTGTTCTTTTCTGCTTTTCTCCCTCTCGAGAATTGCTGGTGTCCTCCCCACCCCGGTGGGTGGGGGATGCGGAGCTCACCCACAACGCACCTGTCTTTCTTTGCGTGTGTGCCTCCGTTTCCTTGTTTATAAAATCCCTGTGATCTTTGCACCACCTACTTCCCATGGCTGCAGTGAAGATTGGCTGTGTCCATCAGAGGCTCTGAGACTGTGGAGACAGCGCAGCATCATGACCCTGCTGTGGAGGCCATGTCATTGCTTGGGTTCTAGAGTCCTAGGTATTCAAATCCAGGTCTGCTGCTTCCTGGCACTGGTCTCAGCCTTCTTCGGGGAACTGAAGGCAGGTTGGGGAGATTGATGTAAAAATGTCCAGTGCTTGAGACGTAGAGCTTCAAGCTTGTGTAAGAGTTCAATAAACTGTTGCTATTAAAAATTAAAGCCCTCACTGTATTGTACGTGGTAGGTGCCTGTCTGTTTTTGTTGATGTCCATGTCAGATCCAGTTACTCCGGTAGTATAGTTTTTTTTTTTATATGAATAAAGATTCTGGTCAAATATCTAGAAAAGTATGGAATTTAATACCGAGTGATGGTAAGTGGGGAGGTCGGAGCAAGCTGGTAGCTTTGGGCCGGATGCTCCCCTCTCTGTACCCCCTGTACCCTGATTTCTGCATCTCCGAAGAGGGGATGTGGTGATGGAAGTGGTGAAGCACAGACCACCCAGCCTGCTCCCTGGTGTGGCCAGAGCAAGGGCTCAAGCAATTCCGGCTTTAATTCAGCTATAGTCCATCAACAGATGAATGGATAAAGAAGATACGGCATTACCCACAACAAAGTACTACTGTGCCATAAAGAAGGCTAAACTGGAGTCTTTGTAAGAAAGTGGATGCCTCTTGAGGCCATAAGCTTAAATATTGTGTGGTTTCTCTTATACGAGAAACTCCAAATACAAATAAAGAGTAAATACAAATAAAAGATAGATACTAGGAAATAAAGACATAGATCTTTCTCAGATGGGAAGGGAGTCGAGAGAAAGAGGGAGAGAGTGAAAAAAGGAATTAAGATGTGTTATGTATGCCTACAACTCCACACCAGGAATGTAAATATTCTGTCCTGCAACTCTGTACTCATAAAAATAAATAAATAAAGTAAAAAATGAAATATTGTCAAAATAAAAAAAGTTTTTACTTTTTGCAGTGCTGGGGATGGAGCCAAGGACCTTATGAATGCTAAGCATGTGCTCAGCCACCCAGCTACAGCCTCCATGGCAGCCCTTCGCCTTAGCCGCTGGATGTGGTTTTCTGCCTGTGTCGGTAAGCACAGGTCTTTTTTTTTCTATCCTGGGAATTGAACCCAAGGCCTTAGCACATCCCTTGCCCTTAGTATTTTTATTCTGAGAGAGACTCTTGCTGAATTGTCCGGGCTGGCCTTGAGTTTGCCATCCTCCTGCATCAGCCTACTGAGCATCTGGGATTACAGGTGTGCAACACCAGACATAGCCGTAAGCACAGGTTTTAATTTTTTTTTGGTACCGGGGATCGAACTCGGGTCCTTGCTCTTACGCAGCAGGCGGTGACACCACTGAGCTAAATCCCCGGCCCAGAACAGGTTTTTAATCGTGGTGTTCAAATCTATATCCATAATGATTTTGGCTTCTTTGTTCTATCAGTGACCCAGAGAGGAAATCCTCTGACTCTGACTGTACATTTTCTGTTTCTTCTTTTACTTCTGACACATCTTTTAATTACATAGTTTAAAAAAGAGATATAATTCATATATCATAAGATTCACCATTTAAAGTGTACAGTTCAGGGTTTTTTACTATATGCCCAAGGTTTGCATAACTTGCTGCTGTTCTAGAAGATTTTCATCGCCTCTCTTCAAAAAGCAAAACATGAAGACCCCATACCCTTTAGCAGCCCCTCCCCCACTCTTCTTCCGCTGCGTCCCTGGCGACCACTAACGCACTTTCCCACCGTCGGTTTTCCACTCCAGATGTTCTGTATAAATGGGGTCCCGCACGTAATATGCTTTGAGGGTTCATCCATGCAGTAGTGTGTACCAGTCCTTCTTTTTTTCCAGTACAGGGGATCGAACTCAGGACCTTGAGCTTGCGAGGCAGGCCCAGCGCCATTGCGCTAAATCCTCGGCCCCATACTTCTTTTGTTTTTATGCTGAATAACACTCTATTGGATGGATGAACTCCCCTGGTATATGTTTGTTTTGTAATATTAACACTAGTTTTGGGGAACTGGGACATGTGTATATATATCATATCTTGATCTTTTTTGGTACCATTTCCTGCCTCCTTCCCCTGGTCATTTTTCCCATCTCCAAAGAGTTTGCCTCCTTATTTCCTATCATCTGTCCTTTATTTTAGTCTTTCATTTGTTTATATTTAGAGTTTCTTCTTTGAGAGAAATCGTACAATATTTAACTTTTGTATGTCTGACTTCTTTCACTTAACCTTATAGTCTCAAGATCTATCCATTTTTCTGCAAATGACATGAATTCATTCTTTTTCATTCCCTTGTGTGTGTATACATAAAAATTATATGTAATATGTAATATGTTTGTGATATTACAATATTAATAACACTAACATAATTTTTGAGTTCTTTATATATTCTAGGTATTAGTTCTTTAAGGAGTAACTGACAAATTTATTTTTCCATTCTGTAGGCTGTCTCTTCATTCTGTTGATTGTTTACTTTGCTGTGAGAAGCTTTTATGTTTGATATATTATTGGCATTCTTGTGCTCCTGGAGTTCTGCTCATTTTGTTTATACATTAATCAGTTGGGTTGTTTGGACTTATTGGCTATTGTGAGTAATGCTGCAGTGAACATGTGTACAAGTTTTGTGTGGACATATATTTTAGAATAACAGTTTAAATTCACATCTGGTGAAATTTGCTCTGATGTTTCATGGATACAAATTTAGAATTGTTATAACTTCTGGATGAGTTGATCTTTTTATCTTTGTGAAACATCCCCCATTACTAGAGGTTTTAGATTTACATCAGAGTTTTTAGAGATTTGCTAGTTTTAGAGATTTACTTTACTAGAGTTTTTAGAGATTTTCTTGGATGGATTACACTTGTTATTTTCTGCTTTAAAGCTTTAACATTTTTATAGCAGTTTTAGAGTCAGCAAAATGGAGAGAAAGGTGGAGAGATTTCTCATATATTCCCTGCCCAGACGTACGAACAGTCTCCCCCATGATCCACACCTCCCATCAATGCTGTATTTATTAGATGAACCTACACTGACATATCAGAAGCTCCCAAAGTCCGTAGTTTATCACATCGTGTTTTCACTGCCCTCTCCCGCCCATTATTCCCTTTTACCTCCCCACACCTCTAACCCCAAGTAACCATTGATCTTCCATTTGGCCTTTTTCCGAGAATGTCATAAAGTTAGTATCGTACAGTATGTAGCCTTCTCAGATTGGCTTCTTTCACTGAGTAATATGCATTTAAAGTTCCTCCATCTCTTTTCAGGACTTGATAAGTTGTTTCTTTTGACACAAAAATAACCCATTGTCTGGGTGGACCACAGTGTATCTGCCCAACCACCAAAGAACATTTTGGTTGCTACCAAGTTTCATGATTATGTGTAAAGCTGTTGTAAACAGTTCTGTGCAGGTATCACCTTGTGCCCACATGGGACCATGACTGTTGGGTGGTATAGTGAGACTGTGTTTAATTTTGTAAGAAATGGCTAAATCAAACTGTCTTCCAAGGTGGATAAACCCTTTTGCATTGCTACTAGCAATGAAGGAGAGTTCCTGTTTCTCCACATCCTTACCAGCATTTGCTGTTCTCTGTGGTCATTTTAACAGGTGTGTAGTGGTATGCCATAGCTATAATTTCCTTTTCCTTCTTTTTATTTTGATTTTTTGAGACGGGATCTCACTAAGTAGCTCAGGCTGGCCTTGAACTCACAGTGATCCTTCTGCCTCAGTCTCCTGAGTGCTAGGATTATAGGCATGCGCCACCATGCCTGGCTCCATTTCCTTAGTGACATATGATGTAGAACATCTTTCCATGTGCTCAGATGCTATGTCTTTCTTCTTTGATGGAGTATGTGTTAAAACCTTTGGCCTGTGTTTTAATTGGTTTGTTTGTTTTTTATTGTTGAATTTTTCTTGTTTTTCTTTTTTCTGTTTTTTTTGGAGTGCTGGGAATTGAACCCAGAGTCTCACACATGCTAAGCAAGCAGTCTACCATTGAGGCACATCCCCAGGCCCTTATTGTGGAGTTTTAGTTGTTCACTGTATATTTTGGATAACAGTCTATTTTCAGTGTATCATTTGCAAATATCTTCTTCCATTTTGTGGCTTGCATTTTGTAACCTAGCTATAATCACTTATTAATTCTAGGAGTTTCCTTGTTGATTCTTTGACAGTCATGCTACTTGCAAAGTTTTATTTCTTCCTTCCTAATTTGTGTGGCTCTTATTTTCTTTTCTTGTATTGTTGCATTAGCTAGGACTTCCTATGTGAAGTTGAAAGACAATGGTGAGAGGTGACAAGGAACATCCTTGCCATGTTTCTGATTGTAGTGGGGAAGTTTCTAGTTTTTCACTAGGAAGTATAATGTTGGCCTTTTTTTGTTTTTACTTTTTCAGTACTAGGGATTGAACACAAGGGCATTCTCACACTGACCTATGTTCTCAGCCCTATTTATTTATTTATTTATTTATTTATTTATTTGGTACCGGGGATTGAACTTGGGTCCTTCTGCTTGCAAGGCAGGCGGTGGAACCACTGAGCTAAATCCCTGGCCCAGCCCTTTTTATTTTTGAGGTAGGGTCTTGATAAGTTTCCTAGGTTGGTAAGAAATTCAGTTTGTTTGCTGAAATGTCTCTGTTTTGTTTTTCATTTTGAAAGATGTTTCTGGTAAGTAAAATTTTAAAAAATATTTTCTTCTATATTTAATTTCACTTATTTAAAAGTTCGTATCTGCTGACTCCAATATCTGAGTATTTTGTAGATTTTTTTGCTTTTCTGACAGTTGGTCTTATCTTTTGATATTACTGGTAATTTTTGGCTGAAAGCTAAACATTAAAATTTTTTTATTACTACAAGTTTCAGTACATGTTGTTTACATTCATTTTAGGGAGTAGGTACATGCACTAACATGTTTTGATTCTTTCCTATTCCTTTTCCCATTTTCCTTTTTCCCTCCGTCTCTAGATCCCCTCCCCCATTTTCATTTTTTTAGTTCATGTTTGAGATACATAATAATTACATTCATTGTGGGTTGTTGGTACATGTTCATGACTCATCTTAAATCTTTTTATACCCTTTCCCCTCCTTCCCCTTCCCATCCTCAGTCTCTTTGTCCCTTTCCCATTTGAAAAAGATCCATCTTCCTCTTTCCAATTATCAGTCTTATTTTGCTCTTTATTTGTTCATTGGATTTCTCATTTGAGAAATGGTGTTTAAGCTTGTGTGTCTGATTAATTTCACTTAACATGTTTTCAAGGTATATCTATTTTCCTACAAATGTCTCAAGTTTATCTTTCTTTATAGCTGAGTAGTATTCCATGGTGTATAGATAATACATTTTCTTTATCCATTTGTCTGTTGACGGACATATAGACTGCTTCCAAGATTTAGCTATTGTGAATTATGCTGCTATAAACATATGCATTCATTGCTATAATTTCATGTCTTTAACTCTTTTGGGAAGACGCCTAGATGGGGAATCACTGGGTTAAATGGAATTTCTTGCTTTAACTTTTTGAGACTATGCTGATTTCCATAATAGTTGTGCTAGTTTACATTCCCACCAGCAGTGGAGGAGGGTTCCTTTTCCACCGTAGCCTTACCAGCATGTGTTATTATTTGATTTCTTGGTGATGACCATTCTTTCTGGAGTAGGATGAAATGTCAGTGTTGTTTTAATTTGCATTTCTCTAATAGCCAGTGAAGTCGAACATTTTTTCATGTATTTATTGGAAATTTGTATTTTTTTCTTCTAAGAAGTGTCTGTTCATTGCAGTTTCCCCATTTTTTTCATTGAGTCTTTTATTTGGGGGAGGTATCTAATTTTTTTTTTTTTTTTTTGGTACCGGGGATCGAACTCAGGACCTTGTGCTTGGGAGGCAGGCACGGTGCCACTGAGCTAAATCCCTGACCCCTCTTGCTGTTATT